TCATCATAGTTTCTCGGATACTAATTTAATTTACCGTATCTGTATTTAATATGCAGAATATAAAAATACATACATAAAATAACAATATATACGTATTATTAATATGCATATTATGTAAGAATTAAACGGCTTGATTTTACTTACTTTTAATTAATTATAATCAATATTATGCACTTTGTATAAAACATTTGCCCACACAATGAAAAGCATTTAAGTTCTATTTTGGCTGTAAGTTTAATTTATTCTTCCATTAAATAATATTTTTTTAAATATACAATAACAGTACCACTACTTTTCCACTAATTTGATTGCATTGAAAATGAGATCATTCCTTGTTGACCAAAAAATTTTTTTAATATCTTCGTAATATTAAAAAAGAATTTTTTTTATATAAAAAAGTGGAATATTGTTGTAATACATAAATGTTTACAATTTTAATCAACAATAAAATAAAATGTTTTGTAAAGAAATGGTCATTTTTGCAAATATTTTATAGAAAATTGAAAAATAAAATTTTAATTTTTATGGTTTTCCAAAAATAGCTTTTATTGATATTCATAAATTTTCTCAACTTTCTCATTTGAAAGTTTGTATAAATTTGGCGTGAAAACATTCTGCGTATTCTTATGCAGTGAAAATCTATTAAAATTTTAATGCTTTCAAAGGACTAATTATTAATACAAATAAAAAGTGTTTTAAAAAAGTATCTATTTATTGACATTCCATATGGCAACTCCAATAATGGTTAAAGGGAATTAATTCAATTAACTTTTTATCTTTAAATTACTGAAAATAAAATATAAACGATAGTTTATATAATTAATAATCATTGTCTATGGTTAGAAATAAATTATTGTATACGGTGTATACCATATTTTTACAGGCATTTTACGTATTTTTACTTCTTTACAAGGTAGTAAGAGAAGACTTTATAAAATTAAAGAAAGATTTAGAAATTGGCACAGTGAATTTAACGAGTTCAACTAGTATTTATAAAATAAAAACTGGATTAACTACATAATTACTTGAAGTATTTATTAATCTTATATTGTAATAAATTCAAATAGTCCTATATTTTAGCAAATTTATTATTCAGAGAGCTAATGAAAATTTGTTTATTTTAAATAAATTTATTCATTTTTTTTTTTTTTTTTTTTTTTTATCAACCTAAATTCTGACAACATTTCTGTATAAAGCAGTTTTATAGATTTGACTATTTTATTTGTTTAATATTTGAATTATTTTGTTGGGAATTATTGAATCTTAAACAACTACCAAATAGTATTTAAAAATAATTATATTCGAGATTAATGAATATATTGTCGAGATGAGTAGGTCACTTTCTTCTACTGAACAATGATCGAGATTTAATTATTAAGCTAATTTGTCTAGAAATATTATTTATCTGGTAGATACATTCTTACCTTAAATAAACAAAAGCAAAAAAAATTTGTTCTCAATACTAAGCCGAAATGATTTATAAAATGCAAAAAAAGTAGAAATTATGTTTGGATTTTGTATTAAAATTTATTCTGTCGCAGATAAGAAGATTATAAATAATATATACAATATTAATCTATCAGACCAGTTGAATGTTACGATCTCGTTGACAATATGTGGCTATTATATCGATATTTTATATTTAACGATTGAAGTATATCGAATGCCTTCTTTAAAAGATCAAAATAGAATAAAAATAGATTGTTTAACATTAAATATGCCAGAATAAAGTTTTATTTTTCAAGAGAATGTTCAATAGCAATTTGTTCATTATTCAATATTAAATAGATTTTTTTATAAAAATTATGTCAATACATATTTATTTCTGAAGCTGACGCTAAAAATGTACATGTCAATAAATCTATTTGGCTTAAGGTTTAATTTTTCCTTTTCAAAATGATATATTGAATTTTAATTATATTGCGTTGTTTGTATGGTGTAATGTGTAAAAATTACCTTATGTATCGATATTTAACAGGCAAATGCCCGATTGAGTTACAATACAAAAGCCTCCCCTCCCGATGTCACGTGATATTTGAAATAAAAAAATAAATAAATCAAAGCATTAAAAGTATTGGAGCATATTCGAATGTTACATAAAACTCGAGTCACTTTCGAAATTATCAAGTACCCGTCATCACCGAATTTAGCTCTAAGTTTTTTCACGCTGCATTCCAATCTTAGCTATTGACAATGTCGACTGGACTTTCATATAGCTCGCCGTACTTTTACCGTATGTGACTTATTAAACGACCGAATCTACATATCAATTCGTGATCAACGCATTGGTGTTTGCGCAACGCCACATAGCGTTAAAAGGACATTAGTCAAAAACACTCGACACACAATAACTCACGTATTTCCTTAGAAAAAGAAGGATTTGGTAATAACGTAATTACACTTTAATGCAACGAAGAGGGGATGCTATGGCAAGTCGAGCGTTCATGTTTCTTTTTGTCCCCCCCCCCCCCCCCCCCCCTTTTCTTTTTTTTTTTTTTTTTTTTTTTTTTTTTTTTTTCTTGTACTTAAACGCGTTTTCCCGCATAAATTAGCCTTATTTTTCGGGTACTTCATTAGCATAAAAATAATGAATTCTTAGATAGGCGTAAATACGGTTATTATATGTGCGCGGATGTCTTATGTGAATCGGTACTAGCTATATCTCAATAGGCGCACACTAACGCACTCGTAAGGCTCAGGTTTATAAAGTTTCGCGCTTTCACTTCGTGGCGGCCGCCGACGTCAAATTCCCGTCTGCTCTAGTGTGCCGCGATCGATGTCCCATTACTTATTCTATTCAATTACTTGTAGGTGGGTTTAATTAAAACGTAATGTCCGTGCATTCGTCGGATTTTGCGCTAAAGTATTGTAATAGTCTAATGCATAAATGTTGACTTGTAAGAAAATTTAAGAGCCCAATAAACGTGGAAAAATGTAATCCTATGGATTTTCGTTGTTATTCAATGCATTAATTAATCAATCAATTAATGACTGATTACATTTTTGTCACTCCAAGTAGTTACGTAATTTCTTAGATTTGCTACATTTACATTAATGTTAGCTACATTGGGAAAGTTATGCTATATTATATTGCTACACGCTATCATATTCGTTTAAATCATTATTTATGAAAGATTAATTAATGATTAAAATTAATTCATTATACTAAAAATATTGTAATTAATAGATGTTACGAAATTATTATCTAATTAAATAATGTTTTTTTTTTTTTTTTTTTTATGATATTCCTACACTTATTAGCGTTGATTAATTGGCAATTTTTTCACCATGGATAATCTTATAAAAGTTTTTATCGCGTTTCTTGACAGATTATTTTACGGTATATTTTTTATCGCTCCTTATTACCAGCTTCTCTATTTATTCTTATTAATGCATACGATTTCGTATTCATTCATGTACACATCATGGGATTTTGTCTTCTGTGATCTTGTTATTTGTCTAATATAAGTATCTTGAAACTTTTATTCAAACACCTTACAAAATTACATTGCAAAATTATATTGCAAAATTTTTCCCCCTCTTATCCTCATTTTTAAAATAATTTGCCGTCAGATAGTGAATTCCACAAGAAAAAACATGGTTGAATTACAAGAGAGGAAGAGAGAGAGAGAGAGGAAGGGAGAGTGAGAGAGAGAGAGAGAGAGAGTGAGGGAGAGGAAGGGAGAGTGAGAGAGGGACAGAGAGAGAGAGAGAGAGAGAGAGAGAGAGAGAGAGATTCATTCATCAGTTAGCGTTTCAAAAATAAAAACAAAAAACCGTTATTTATACAGTTTGCCGACATGCTCGATTAAATAAGATTTTTACTATTGTGAATACAGCAATTACCTTAATAGAAATAAAATTTCGTGAACACCGTTGAAGAAGGAACTTGTATACTTGTACTTTCTAGCTAACTATTCGTTCTATATTCTGACGGAAATGAAAGTGTCGCTGATCATCTGGACTAAAAAAGTGTTAGTCCAGGCAATTCCGGTTCTCTCTCTCTCTCTCTCTCTTTCTCTCTCTCTCTCTTTTTTTCTGTGTGTATCATTTATCCGAGGACGTTGGAAATCGGTACACTTAGCGCGGACAATCGAGCACAGTTGCCGGCAATTACTTTCTATCTTCCTCTAAACTGCTCGTGAACATTTTAAAAAGGCGCGGTGTGCGCGTACACGAACAGTTGACCTAACGGTGAAATCCGACGGGCCCAATCGTTTTCTCGCCCTCTTTCTTCACATACACACGTGCAGTCAATCTTGGTAACACAATTTTTCCCCGTTCCACAAACATCATTCGTGCCGCTTTGTATTTTCTCTCATTTGCATGGCGGAGCGTCGCGCTTCCCCATTCAGTATTTCCTCGTTATCCTTTCCGCTCGCTACTCTCAGGGTTTGCATCGCTTTCTTATGGATCTTTTACACCCGTAGATCTCGTCGACTTTAGGCAATTACGGTTCTTCACGCAACTTCATTAGATCCATTGATTCGCAGAAGGCTAGGTTAATAAAAGCATCAAGTACTTTAAACAATCGGTTTCCTGCTTTCCTATGATTCCGTAACATTTTGGCGCGCCAGCTCTTAACGCGAGTTCCATGCAAAGTCAAAACAACCTTTTGGCGCGCACGTGAATCTACGATCTCGCGCTCTCGCTCATGCTAATTCAACGAGGAAGTCTTCCTCGTTGTGGCCGTTGTCGCGCTACGTGCCATCCGCCCAGGTCTACGTCATCATCGATTGTCCTATGATTGCGCAAACGAGCAACAGTCCGTCCTTACCGATTTTCTAACGTGCAACAAGGATCTCGTCGAGCTCGATAATTCCCTTTCCTTATCTCTGCCTCCTCCATCTCCTCCTCCTTCCACCAACCCTCTCTCTCTCTCTCTCTCTCTCTCTCTCTCTCTCTTCGTCACATACACGCACACGCACATGCACACGCACATTATCTCTATCACGTACCCGTAATATCGCGCACACTAAATCGCCCAAAATTAAACTCACCAGCTGGTTGCTGCTCCTCTCTTTATCTTTCTATTTCTCTTTTTCTCTCTCTCTCCCTCACTCTCCCTCTCTCTCCCTCTCCCCCTGTCTCTCCCTCTCCCTCTCTCTCTCTCTCTTTCTCTCTCTCTCTCTCTCTCTCTTTCTGATTCGCACAGCTGTAAAAGCAGCAGAAGCACTCAGTCTGCCGATCTCATGGTTCGGCGCCAAGGTAAGGCCCCGCTCCCTCTTATGTCCTCCTATGTTCCTTTCTCAGTTTTTGGACCCTTTGGTGCAAAGATACGAGGACGGGGGCCAAATCCGTCGGAGAGGAGTCGCGGAGTGCGTCGGAACGCGCGGCCGAACACGGCGATCGGCCAGGTGAAAGCCGAGGAGAACGACTGCTGAGTCTATCCGCGAACCATCCGAGCGACTCCTGCCGCACGCCGTCGTTTTCTCTCTCTCTCTCTCTCTTCTCCCTCTCTCCCTCTCTCTCTCTCTCTCTCTCTCTCTTTCTCTCTGTCTGTCTCAGACGCTCATTGCCGAGAGATTGGAAGAGCGAGCGAGAAGACAAGATAGAAAGAAAGAGAGACGCGTATAAAAGTCCCCTTCCATCGCGGAGGGCCGCCGGTTTATATTCGTGTTTACTTTCACCGTGGATACGCGAAAGAGCGAGAGAGAGCAAGAGGAGGCATTACGTGCATTAAGCCTTGATCGGGACTCGTGAATACACGGTATCTGACGGAGGCTGGATGACAGCAACCGAGAAGGTTCAAAGTTCATGTAATCGATTTACAAGGAATCAATTTTTTTGTCTATACTTTGGCGAGAGAAAAATGGTAAAAGAAGTCGATGGTAAAGAGATGTGGGAAGAGACGAGGACACTCATTTCTGTAAATGCTAATGCGTCAATTTGGATTTTCTAAGTAATTTCATCACTGGATAGTGTGATCATAGACAATGGAGGTTGCGGTTTCAATCTAAACCTAAGCAATTGATATTAATCGCTATCCAAAACTTTGCTTGAAAAATATGAAAAATAAATGATAAATAAAACTTTGAAAAACCTAAAGGCAATTTGAATATGATTTATAAAATTCATACTCATTTTGAGATGACCTCATTGAATTATTATATCTACATATTATTGCATCATTATAAATGGAATATTTGATAATTATAAATTTAGATTCACGTTACTTTAGTTGGGTATTATTTGACTTTTTTTAGATTTACCAAGAACATTCATATCGATTAAACATTATAAATTTATATGAAAAAAGTTTTAATAATTTATAAAATAAGCTGGTTCAATTAGCAATTTATATTTTGACACTCCCTTTTATCAAGCCAAAAATTAGTTAATTTTTCACAAAAAGTAGTCAAAATGCATAATAAGGTATTCATAAAATAGATCGTAAGCTATGAATGTCATGTAATTTCATATACAGTGCCTTTAGATGAAATGAAAATACTATTTAATTTCAAGTAAAATATAGTAAAATTTTATTTATATTATTAATTTCACGAAGATTAGAAATATAGGCAAGGATCGATCGATATAAAGGCGAAAATGCGATTTATAATGATTCTCCATTCACTTAAATTATTATTCAGAATTAAAGTACGGATATCTTCTCACTGCATAGAGTAAAATTTCACTTCAGATTATGTCTAGAATTACAAATACTAAATAGCAGCATGCTAAAATAAATAAAAAATAAAAGTTGTTTTTAAAAATTTAATTAAAATATTTCATAATCAGGTAAAATAACTAAGCGGCTAAGCAATACATAAAATAATAATTGTATTTCATTCATATTTTTTATGTATCGCTTTTACCGCCTAATATTATAAATTTAAAATAATTTTATTTTATACTTAATTGAAATAAATTACAAAGAAAGATACTATCCACTTAGCAAATTCGTATCAAGAATAAAAAAAAAAAAAAAAAAAAAAAAAAAAAAAATAAATAAATAAATAAATATAAATAAAAAATTCTAATTATTTTGTAATCGTAACGATTTTTATAATATTCATAATACATTTTTTCACACGTTAAATACATTAAGCTTAAATACAACACATGCAACAATTTGTTTATATATATATATATATATATATATATATATATATAAAAATTTGAGAATGAGTTTACTTTCGTAGCCACATTGAAAAAGGTATTCTAATTGTTGTTTCTCTCCCTTTCCCTCTTTCTTTTGGTACGTTCGAATAATTTCTTTTATTAGTAATACACTGTTAAAGATCGAAAGAGAAGGGAAATCAGGAAAAAAGCGGGCGATGCTAAAGCAAAGTCACCTTCAAATAGGTGCAGCTTATGGATGAAATTTATTGGATAATGCTGTCGAGTTTCTTTATGTTTTTATTTTTTTATTATTGTCTCTACGAATAGTATATGCCGGTATATTCTCTCAGCTCTTAATATTCTAAATCAACGGGTGCAATCGTACAGAGATAAATTATATGCAATCGTGTATTATGACAATTGTTATTTGAATAAATAAGCATAGCGTTTATTATCGAATTAGACTCATTCAATATTGCAATAAATACTTTCTTTCTGCCATAATCCATAATTTGATCCATTTATAAACAATGAAAATTTATGTGAAAGATATTTGCATTTTAAGTCACAATTTATTATTTTCATGTTTTATTCATAATTTATTAGTATTCCAAATATAACTGCATGTTAATAAAATAAATATATTTACATGCACTTATAAATGAATTTATTATTAAATAGTATATTCGTGTAGTAATATAATTAATATTTCATTGTCATTACTATTAAAATACAAGTATTGTATTGTTCAACGATAAATGTAATATTTATCGAGATTTTTTATATGAAAAGATAGATTTTTATAAATGTTAATGTATTCATAGCAATATTAATATAAAAATTTCAAAATTTCGATCATCTATGACATTTTATATTTGTTGTTTGTACATAAACTGCAAAAAGTATTGTCTCAATCTACTTTTAATATAAATATTTCACAAGCTTTGATATTAATTATTTAGTAATATTATTATTAATCTTCTCTTAAACAAGCAGTAATATTTCGTATATTTTTATACTAATCGTATCATGTTAATTTTAGTTTAGAATGTTCCTTGTTGTGGCCACGTTCTGGAATTATTTGAAATGTTTCATAATATCTGCTTTTCTTTTACGAGCACAGATTTGAATTTGAGGAAAAGAATGAGAAATTATTTTGAATGTAAAGGACATTCTTAACTGGCCGGGTAACGATATTTCTCTTTGTAATCAGCTTGGAGCGTTATACGCCTGCGCATGTCGTTGACCCTTTCACTATATGTCTACGTTTCTGAATAAGTTATTGTACGATTTATACCACGAAATCAAATATTTCCTTGTATGTGACAACACCTGAATGCTAAATAAGTGCTGCATTCATGTGTTTATTTTAATTTCATCTTTATAAGGCAAAGGCTATCGCCAATGGTGATACAAACTGTCGATGAATGCATTAGTACATGAATCTGATTGTATTATACTACAAGACATAAATATTCGTCATTTATGGCTCTACGCGAATCTAAGATTTGCGCAACTAGTTTAAAAGATATTTGTCCTTTCTCATTTGAGAACCATGTATAAGTTGCCATTGTTAACGAAAACAAAGAAAAAAAAGAAAAAAAAAGAAAAAAAAAAATAAAAAAACAAGAAATATACATGTATATTTATATCAATATATATTTTCTTCTATTATGTATAATATATCTTGTAGTAATTAAAATATAACAGTAATATAACATTCTATATTACAATAATAAAATAAATTTTTAAATCTTTGAATTTTTTCCGTTATTTCTATTAATTAAATAAGATATGAGAATTTATTTAATAAATATGTTTTGTATGCCATCGTGAATTATATGAATGTCGGATTCTCTTTCCAACAAAAAAAAAAAAAAAAAAAAAAAAAAAAAAAAAAAAGTCCGTCTTCTGGTGTTGACTAATCTACATCAATTCAGGACGTATCCTTTTCGCTAGTCTCCATCTTAATCTTGTTCTTTGTGATGAAGATCTGTTTTTTTCGAAAATTAAACCTTTGCTAACGCTTTGAGACCATTAAACGTATGAAATTGTACGGTAAAATGCGCTTAAGGCATTCCACAGTTTTTTTTTGTTTTTTTTTTTGTTTTTTTGTTTTTTTGTTTTTAATCTCCATGGTCTCGAAGGGAGTAGCCCTTTTGGATGAATGAAAGATTTCGGTTGAATAAAGAAGTCAATGAATATGATAATTATGATTTCTATTACACTTTTGAGCTCCAAAACTGGTATATTATCTGTTTATCAGGTGGAATCTGGACATAATAAATTCAGATAATAAATCCAGAGAAGTTCGTTAGTAGGTAATTTTATATAACTGCATTGTAACAACCAATTTCGGCCAATACAACTAAAAGTCTCTGATCATACATTTTATCTGACTATCTAATTGATCTCTCAGCTTGAACATTATGTGCTTCTTACGAGTGACATGTTAATCGCTTGATATCCATCTTCGCAACTATGAAATGAAGTGCACGATACATCGGATTGAATGTAAGTCGCTGCATTATTTTGAAAAATAATGGGATTTAATACGAAAAGTATACGCAATCATCATCTTTCATTCAACATTGTCGAAAAAGTTATTTTTTATATTAGATCTCACCACAGAGTACAAACACTTTTCACGTTAAATGGTTAGTTTTTAATCGATGTATTAATTAAATAAATAAGTCGTCGATGTATTGTTAATAAATATTAGCATATTTTATGAAGTGGTTATCATTATAAATGATGATGTTTATAGTGATATAAATCTTGTGAAAGTAGAGAGTAGCAAAAAGCTGGTTGGTTTCATATTTCTGTTGTAATGATCTTTTTTAAAATATTTTACTTTAATGAAAAATATTTAAAAACTTGAAAATACAATATTTTACAGTATGAATAAGAATGGATACATACGACTTCCTTTTAAATAATGTTCAATTTCTTACGATAATTAGCAAAGTTTGATGAAATGTCGATATTATAAAG